TCATTTAAAAATTATTTTGGATGTGAAATGAATTTTATGGTTTAAGTGCGAAGAACATGATACATTACAAAGTCCAAAATCCGGACATCCATTATCCGGATGATCTAAAATCCAAACCTCAAAGCCACAAACTTTAAAAAAAATTTTATGCATGTACATTTGTTTTTTCCTTCCATAATAAAACGGGGAGATTTTCACTTAAAAATTCTGATTCTTAATTTCACTTAGGCACTAAATAAAATACCTCGTTTATAAAAAGACAATCATGTAAGCATAAATTTGTGAGATTAATGATTTGGCTCCGGAGCTGAGTTTCTGCTTAAGATACATCTCAAACCAAAACATTCACCTATTTTATATCCTCTACGGTGACCTGGCGAGTCATTGTTTATTATATTTTGCTTTCATCACTGCATGTTTATCAATATCTTACAGCTTCAGTAATAACTTATGCAGTGATGTCTAAACTTTTTTTTTTATATTAGTAATTGAATAATAAGGGTGTGGCAATCTTTTATGTTAACATTATGTTTGGCAATGATTATAGATTTTTAAATGCTCTAGGAAATGTTGACAAGGGAAAATTCAACAAAAATTTCTTTTCTTATGCTAAAAATAGATTTTGTTAATGAAACTCATAGCCCAAAAGATTACATTTAGTGCTATTTTAATTCAAAATAACTAATTTGTTATTCACCATAAACCCAGAAGCGGTGGCAGAATTTAGGGAAGACAAAATTTTTGGAATTAAAGGAAAGCACTGAGTGGCAAAATGAAAGAATGAGAAGTTTTTTATAATTTAGGGAAAGCACAGAGATCTAAAGTTTAGGCGTGGCAAAAATTTAGAACTTAGGAAGGTGATTTGTAGCAGAATTTAGGACCCGCAGAGACTGCAGCGGGCGGTATCTAGCACCGACCCTAGATAAAGCCTTAACCCGCGGGAAAGTACGTGCGGTATATCATACCCCACCCCTCTATAAATTGGAATATTCCTAACTTGTGAAACTGAAATTCTGTGCTGCGTTCAGTAGCTGAGTTTCTAGTTGAAATTGACTTTCAGAACTGTTTTTTCTTTGCCTGTGTGTTTCAGAAAAAGATTTATCGGTATTTTGTTGAAACTGAGGTATGACACACCCCACGCGCCTGTTCGCGAAATTGTTTTTCTGACTGAATATTTAGTTCAGATATTTATTTCTAGAGTAACAGTAAATATTTCTACTCGCAAGTGATTTTAAGTACAGTCAAAAGTAGTTAATCCGGACTCGTCGGGCGTTTCCGGATTATCGATTTTTCCGGATTATAGATCATCAGTTTAAATCTGGTAAGATGGCATGCAGAAATTATAAAATTAAAAATATGAAGCCGTAATTTATGAAATTAAGAACAATTATGATCTAAAGGGTATCAAAATTTACCAAACAAAAGCTTAATATTTATTTGTTTACTTTATTAAGCATTTCTTACAATGTAAGTTGTTTAAGTTGCTTTTGTTTTTTTATGTGATAATACTTTCTCTTTAATTCTATAACAGACATAATTTCTTGTTCAGTTACAAAGTTCCACTGTTCAAGTCCTATAATTGCTGTGTCGAGAATACCGACTAATTTGTCATCGAAATTTTTCGTTTTCATAACCTCTGTCACTTTCTTCACTATCGGAAGCGATTATAATGACGAGGATTTGTTTAAATCGTATCAAGGCTGAGTACATCGAGATGAAATACTACATTTAGTAAGGAATTATAAGCCAAATAAAATAAAAACATCTTCCCTGAAGATAAGGATAGTGCTGACAGATCAAATTCCAATTCATTACGTCCCGCCGTGGCGTCCCCCCCCCACCTGCAGAGCACTGTGAAATTGATTAACAGATTTCGGAATGGTGAGAGAAATGAAGGATATGCTTTTATCCATTTTTTGCAGCAATTCCACTTTTTTATAATATGACTAAAGCAGCAGTGGATATGGCGGATGAAATGTCAGCCAATTATTCAATTGCCAGAATAACAAGGAGGTGGTCAATGGTAATTTTCTTTCCTGCACTGAATGTTGCTGTAATAAATGCTTGAATTATATTACATTCAGCTGCTAATCCACCAACCAGAAACAGAAGTCTGTTTTTGAAGGACTTAGTCTTACAATTAATGAAAAAAGTATAGAAGAAAGATCAGAGATTAATACTTTACCAAGAAACTGATGTACTGCATTCAAAACAAAAGCAGAAGTTTTGACGAAGAATTAAAACGAATACATGAAATTCGATGCAACTAAGTATGAAACATGTGATAAATTGCTCTTGCGCCAAGGACAGAAGAACGTGAATGCAATGTTTAAATTGTGAAAACAGTCTGTGCCAAGAATACAGGATGTATTTCGTTCAAAGTGTAAAGAAATAAAATAAGCATTGTGTATTAGAGATGCAATGAAACTTAGAGGCATGATGTTTATTTTTTATTTTCTTTTATCTTACTTTTAACTCTAAGATTATTTTGAAAATTAATTTTTTGAAACCCAATTATTATTCACGTATTTTTAATACACGAGAACAAGAAAAACAGCTTTAAAACTAAATAAAACTATTTTAATCGTATTTTAAATATTGGGGTATGTGATACCCCACGCGCCCACTCTAGTAACTTTTCTTGGTGCGACTTCCGCCGGGTTAAGTATATGTGGGAGTTTATTTATTCGTGACTCAGATTATTTTTAAGCATGTACAAGAAATAAACATAGGTATAGTAAATAACTAATACAATTCAGGCTTAATTCAGTAGGCAATAGGGACAAGACATTTAGTGGAACTTGGCTTTCATGACCAATCTTGTGATACACAGCCAAGAATGTGTAACGGATGCTATTAAGCTAGGCTAAAATTATATTTACTGATTCTAAGGCATTTCAGTTAATGTAGCAGATTGCGCTGTTCCTTTAATCTTCTAATTTCTTTTCTAATATGATCCAGCTTATTATTGTTTGCAGACTTATTATTAGAGCAATTTTATAAAAATTAAGCTTGAACTTTCGATTATGTCAAAAAGAGTTTCCAATTCTGCAGCTGCCAAAGGATCTACAAAGCGAAAGCATGTTTCGATGTCCATTAAACAAAAAGTGGTTTTGCTGCAAAAAATGGACAAAGGCATATCCGTCTCAAAATTATGCAAGGAATATGGCCTTGGAAGGTCAACTGTATATGACATAAGAAAAAAGAAAAAGGAACTTTTTGAATTTTTTGTGGATTCCGACACCTCACTTGCAATGAATAACAGAAAAAGTGTTCATGCTGCTAAAATTGACGATCATGACAAAGTGATGATTGAATGGGTCAGACAGTGTCTCAGTGAGGGCGTGCCATTGACGTGTCCAATGCTAATGGCTCAAGCCAAAATATTTTATGAAGAAATGAACTTAAAATGCTGAGTGAACATATTCGACAGGTTGGTTAACCAAATTAAAAAATCGGCATGCATGACCTCGAACATTTAAAGAAGTAACGATTTTCCCCGTTATATATCACGCAAATAAAAGAACATGGATGACACATGCGTTGATGAATGATTGGTTTGAAAATCATTTGATACCCGAGGCTCAGCAACATTTGAATTCGTTTTGTTTTACCTGATGACTCAAAAATGGTCCTGCTTGTAGACAACTGTTCAGGTTATACTACTTAAATTTTTATTGAAAGGTAATGTAACCACATTGTTCTTTCCTGCAAATTCTACGTCTATCATTCAGCCTATGGCTATCTGAATATTGCGCGCTTTGAAATGCAAATATAAAGTACCATTTTAAAAATCTATGTTAAATTTCTTTAAAATGTCAAGACTATTCAAGAATTTTTGAAATATTTTAGAATAAAATGTGCTCTGTGGAGCATCGCGAGATCGTGGGAGGATGTGTCTCCAGATATGTTAAAAAATGCTTGGTATAATTTATGGCTAGCTATCATAGTTCATCATGAGGACAAAAGATGATAGCAGCGAATTTGAAGGTTTTTGGATATCGCAAACTTAAGATGAAATTTTCCAGTTATTGGATTTTGTTAAGAAATGTGGAGAAGCGGTAATAAATGAAGATGATATAACAGAAGTTTTTCATTGCGACGACAATGCCCCAATCATCAATCAATTAACGGACGGCAAAATCTGTAGTATGGTTCTAGATCCAGAAAATACTGCTACCGATAATGAAGAAAGTGATAGAGAGGTTATTGAAAATGAAAAAATTTTGAATGACAAGTTAGTTGGTATTCTCAACATAGCAGTTACAGGACGTAAACAGTGGAACTTCGTAACTGAACAAAAAATTATATCTGTTTATAGAATTAAAGAGAAAGTATCAGCGCAAAAAGTGAAGCAACTTAAACAACTTACAGTGAAAGAAATGTTTAATAAAGTAAACAAATAAATAAATATTAAGCTTTTTTTTTGTAACATTTGATTCCCTCTAGATCATAATTGCTCTTCATTTCATAACCCACGGTTTCATATTTTTAATTGTATAATTTCTGCATGCCATCTAAATCTGGTAAAGATTTAAATTGATGATCTGTGATATGGAAAAATCCTGAATTGCCGAAGTTCTGACGAGTCCTGATTTTGAACCTTGTAATGTATTTAATAAATAAAAGTCATGCACAAAATTTTAAAAAAACGCCCGCCCCTTTAAACGTAATTTAAAATCTGAAACCTTTCAGATTTTTTTTTTTTTTTTAGTTTGCTATTTGTCGGAGAGGATTCTTTTGTGCTATAAATTTTCATGTCTTTATCAAACATTTCTGTTTATAAAATTTTTTTAGAAAACTAATGTTATAAGGTAAGAAAATAATAATAATGGAAAAAAATATTATTGTTGAAACCTTTCTTTCTTTTTTTTTTTTTTTTTTTTTTTTTTTTTTTTTTTTTTATGTATGATAGTAAAATATTTGTCTTCCAGAATAAAAAAGTGCAATAATTCCATAGTTGTTGATTTCAGGACTTATTCATAAATTCTCAATTTTAGATATGTAAGCATTTCCTGGTAAAATTCTGTCCAAATGACCTATTTGTTAACACAAAAGCTGATTTAGGAGTGTGTCCTAAAATCCATGATGAAAGACTTAAAAAAGAGTAAGTTTATTTTTTGTACAGTTTTATATTTTTTACACTGTATAATGATTATTTTACACTATATAGAACATATAACTTTACTATATAATTACACTATATAATAATTATAATATTACACTTGTCTTTACATATAATTGTTGAATTTATTAGTAAAAATGCTTTGATAAGAATTTTAAAAAATGACTAATATGTCTAAATTTTTTCCTTCTTTTCACCCAATGTTAAAAAATATGAACAATTAGTATAGTGTGTGATTATTAAAAGGGAATGATTTTGACTCATTTTTCTAATTTTATCAACAATAACGTTCTGGTAAAAAGTTTTTTTTTTTTTTTTTTAATGTGACTTGTTTATCTTTTAATTATTTTTTATTGTAGCAACATATTATTTAATATTAAACAAATATTTGGATAACTGAAGATATTCAAGTAATTTAATCTAATGTAATTTTATAAAAACTGACTACTTTAGTTCTTGGTGATATAATTAATGTGTTGTACACAAGAGGAAAAATTAGGAGTCTGTGTCTGTGGTGATGTGTTGAGAAGTGAAGACAGGGAGGAGGATGGAACATTATTTGATGTTGTGAAATGCAAAGTTGAGTAGAGTTGAAAACAACACAATATATTTAATTAATTGCTTTGCTCAAATTGTATTATCCATGGAGTTTATCTTTTTTTGCTTATGTGTATTTCTGCAGGTCTGTAGGTAGGGGTCCATGACACTTAGCAGACGAGACACTTAACTGACACCAGTTAGTTGACACGGACATTTAGCCAACAGGTCATTTAGTCAACATGGACAATTAGCTGATAAAGACATTTAGCTGGCAAGGACACTTAACCGACATGACATTTAGCCGACACAGAGGGTTAGCCGTCAGGACATTTAGCTATGGGAGATTTAACGCTGAAGACATTTAGTCAACAGGACATTAAGCCAAAACAGTGATTTTTAGCTGGTTTCTACCCAATAATTATTTAAACTTACTATCAGTTACAAAAATTCTCGATGACGTCATAAGTTCAGCATATTTAAGTCAATTTTTTTTTCACCTATCAGTAAAATTCAATTTTACTTTTTTAAAGATCTCATATATGCTTTTAATTCTTGTGCAATTTAACATAGTTTGATATATCTCGTGCTGCTTGGTGTTATATTGGCCAAATTGAAGAAGTATTGAAATTTCTCGTCAATGAATATGAATTAATTTTCGAAAGGAAAAAAGAATTTTTTTTAGCTAAGTACGACAGTCACTTAGTTACATTTTAATATTGGATCTGCAAAAAATTGTCTGTAAAGCTTCTTTATTTAATCAGCTAGGTTTCTTTGAACACTTTCACATAATTAATAATTTTTCTTGTTTAGTTAATGATTTTAATTTTCCAATCTCACTCATCCTAATGCTTTCAAATTTCTAATACCTTTTCGTTTCGTTACTATTTTACATATTATGTAAAATTGTCACTCAATTTCTGTTAGGCCCAGCAACGGCCGAGTGGTAAAGTCGCTGAGTACCAGTAGTTCAGTTCGAATTTCGAATCCCACGAACAGACTGGCTGCATGGGTGTTTTCGGGGTTTCCCCCATGTGTAACGTGCATACAAGCCAGTTTTCCTTTGAAAGTCCTGTACGAATGTATCCCTTCCCTTAGGCAGATAGCCCTCTGGCATAATTACGTAAGCAAAACAAAACCAAACCCATTTCTGTTACGTAGCCGCAGGCCACGATGTACGGATTCCTGGACTAGAGCCCTATCCCAAATTAATAAATATACAGTGTGTAAGTAGCATTTCAGTTAAAATAAATAAATAAATATATATATATATATATATAGTTCCAGTGTAGCAAGGAGTAGGGCGAATCACTCTACTTCCTGACAGGGAAAGGAAATTTCGTTAGTGAGAGGAGCCAAACGACTTTTTACGGGAATGAATTTAGAATGATGTGTTGAGCAAAGTAGTAATAAAATGTGAAAGTATTAGAAATCTGAAAGCATTGGGAAGAGCAAGACTTATTGACGGCTGAATCTCCTGTCAGCTAACTGGTGTCGGCTAAGTGTCCGCAACCGGTAGTATAGTAATGTAATTAAAAAAAATTCTATGAACAATATCTGTTGCTGGGTAAGTTTTTATAGGAGGTTTTATTTAATGGTTTTTGAATATGGTGTGTTTTTAATAAGCATTCCTTCTGTTCGATTAGGCTGCTTTTGAATTATTAACCCTCTGGGCGGCCAGGGTTTTCGCGAAGAAAGCACAAATTTCCCAAAACTACTACGAGAACAAATTATTTTTTTGATTTGAATTCAAAACCTCTCCTGGTATTTCATACCTAGATTTGTTTTCTTTTGATATATTGCCTTAATTTCGTTGACATATTTTAATATGCACGTATATATACGTTCTTACAAATATCACAATAAATATTCTAGGCCGTATATATATGTCCTTGCCGCTTAGAGGGTTAAAAATGATCTCCAATCTAAGACTTAACCCTGGTTTTGAAATTTCATATTAGCTTATAATAAGTGGATCCTAAAAAGGAATACAGATTCTGATATTGTTTAAATGAGCAAATTTTGCAAGCCTCTGCTTCTTTGAGGTTGATAAATAAAGGGGACAGGAATTTGATCCACAAGTTATAGTTACTAAGTGTGGCTTATAGGTGTCAAAAGAGCTGTTGGAAAGAGAAGAAAACATTTGCAATGAGATTTTTTGCTCTATGTTTCTCCCTAATGTATTTTATCTTATATCTACTTGTTATTTATTTTGGTACTGTTCTGTTATAGGGACTGGATTTAGAAAAGTATGTATGTTTGCATATGTGTGCATACACTAATACAAACATACGTACATACATATATGCATACGTACATACATTTCTGAATCCACTTCCGATAACAGAAGAGTATATTTATTTTTTGTTAATTTAGACAGAATAGAATATTATCTTTTTTATAGATATGAGAAAAGTTCCAGATTCCAACAAATGGGCTACGAAGAAGATTTTTTACGTTTCTGCCAAAGCATGTTATCTGATGTGGACAAGCGTATAAGACGAGCTCGACAAAGATTAGCACTTAGCAGCAAAGAAGCAAATGTAAGTTTAATTTATATGATTTGTTGTTCATAAAATTCAATGTTTTTTTTTTTTTTTTTTTTTTTTTTAATTATGCTCCTATGAAATTGATGTTTCTCTAAAAACTGTATTTTTTTCATTTGTAGGTGTCCCAACCTACGCAAGTTAAGAATAATGATGAAAAAGTGAATGTGTTAACAGAAAGAATTAATGGTCTTTTAGTTCAAGTAATTAATTTCATGTATTCGTAAGCTATCTTTATCATACTTTAACGGTAAAGTTACTCAAATTCAATATTTGTATAAATATTATGAAGTGTAATTGTTTGAAAAATATATCTTTATGCTTGTATTAAAAAAATGTACTTGGAAATGTAAAAGTAATGACTGCATTGTAAAATTTTGCAGTTCTGCATGATAGATATTGCATTTCTGCATTTTTTGTCAAAAAGTTTAATTGATTTTGTTAAATTTGCTTCATTGGTTTGTTTGAGTGCCTGGTCAAAAGTCTTACTAAGGATATTTTTGTGAATTCTGTTCCGCTTGCAAATTAATTCTCTGAACTGTTAAGCCATTTTGTATCCATTAACAAAATTTTTATTTATTTATGTAGCATTTATCAGCAAAACTTGTATAGTTACAGATTTTTACACACACACATACATATATCTCTACATATAATAAAAGAAAGAGGCTGTCTGTGTGTCTTTCGTTCGCTCTGCGCGTAAGCTAATAAACCCACGACTACAAAATTTGGTACATAGCTGTATCTAGGCAAGAGCCAGTGCACCTCGAAGCGATTTTTTTCGAAATTCGAATTAGAATTTTTTTAAATTTTATGTTTTGTGACCAAAGTGGATTTGTGACGAAATCCCGTCAGTGGGCTATAGGAAAGCGAGATTTTACTCTACACACTCCATTTTCACATCGTCATGAAACGTAGGCACTTAGCTATTTTACGAACTTAAATTAAATTTCGTGTTTCAATAAATCGATTAAATACGAATTTATTTAACAAAGGGAGCTTAACACCTTTTCTACAGAATTTTTTCTAAAAAAGTTTATTTTAAAAAATGTACAGTTTATTTTTCTTTGATTTTTGGACACGTTAAACTTTTATCCTTGCGACTGCTATTACAAAAAGAATTTTGGAAAAATGATATTTTGTATTTTAAAAATATTTTTTAAATGAAGCTTCTGAGTACACTTCTCACATCTCAGATCTTTAAAAATGTGATTTTGGCAAAAATTTTCATGTCTTATTGTTGTTGATAGATTTTTTGATGAAATAACATCATTTGAATTGTTTCATTCTTTTATAAATATGGGTTTGGCAACAATTTTTCATCGTATTTCTTATGTCACTGTTTTTAAGAGATTGGCATATTTCATTGTCATTTATATATATATATACGAGGCATATTCGGAAACTAAGTACCATTTTGAAAAAAAAAATAGTAAAACAATTTTTTCGAATCCAATTTTATTTTTACATGACAATACATGTCTTAAACTATTTTTCAACATAGTTTCCTCCAATGATCAAACACTTGTCATAGCGGGTGACCAGTTTTTGTATACCATCGTCAAAGAAACTTCCCGCCAGTTTCGATAACCATGACTCCACAGCATTTTTCGTGTCATCGTCAGATCCAAAGCGCTTGCCACCAAGCTCGCGCTTCATGTGCAGGAACAAGTGATAGTCAGACGGCGCCAATTCCGGGCTGTACGGCGGGTGATCGAACTGCTCCCAATCAAACTGTCGAATTAACGATTGAGTGACACCAGCAGTATGGGACCGAGCATTGTCATGGAGCAACACAATTCTTTTACTGAGCATTCCTCTTCGTTTGTTTTGAATGGCACGCCTTAGTTTTGTTAAAGTCTCACAATATCGTGCCGCATTAATGGTTTAACCTCTGGGGAAGAAATTCAGTAAGCAAAATGCCTTTCCTATCCCAGAAGACAGTGCACATGATTTTTTGTGATGACATTGTCACTTTGAACTTTTGTTTTTTCGGAGAATGAGTGTGTCTCAACTCCATCAATTGTTGTTTTGATTCTGGTGTGAAATGACACACCCAAGTTTCATCACCTGTCACAGTTTGGTATAAAAAGTTTTCCCCCTTATCACAGTACCGCGTGAGAAATGTCAGGGCACTACCAAGTCGCTTTGTTTTGTGAATATCGGTGAGCATTTTTTTAAACCCACCGGGAGCACAGTTTGCGATAATTCAAGCGGTCAGACACAATTTCGAACAAAACAGTATGTGAAATTTGTAGAATTGCCTCTGAAAGAGTTGTCATTGTGAAGCGTCTGTTCTCATGAATTGCTTCATCAACTTTCCTTACCAAATCATCGGTGACAACAGAAGGCCGACCACTCCGAGCCTCGGCGTGGACATTTGTTCGACCTGCATTAAACATTCTTACCCACTTTCTCACCATTCCATCACTTACCGCGTATTCACCGTAAACTTCTATCACTTGACGATAAATTTTGGCCGGTTTAACATTCCTCGCATTCAAAAATTTAATCATGGCACGAATCTCACAGTCAGCGGGAGAACTAACTGTCTTAAACATTTTGAATGTGCACAGCAAACTGAAAACACAACATAGAGCAATCAAAATGGCGACAATTGAAAGTCAGTGAACAAGAAAGACTAGTGTGCATGCGCGGGACGCCTACCACAGCGCTGCGACGGCGCTAGAATGAAACAGTACTTAGTTTCCGAATACGCTACGTATAATACACTTTCATTTCATTTTATTATTATTATTATTGTTATTATTATTTTTTTTTTGATAAAGTTGCTCTGTAAAGTAAAATTCTGCATGGAATTTTATGTTTTTTGAGTTGCTTTCATGTTATTTTTTGCTTATTTCACTGTTTGTAAGAATTGAAAAGTTTTGCATGATTTTTTTTTCTTCAACGGAAAATTGGTTAATTTTTTTATTAGATAATTAATAATTGTATTAAGGGATATAGCTTATTTCATTGTAATTTTTTCTCTTGAAAATATAAGATAAAATATCATTAATTATACTTTGCTTTTCAGAATTTTTTTTTTTTTTTTTTTTTTTTTTTTTTTTTGTTTTGTATTCCTTTGTGTTATTTATTGCTCATTTCACTGTTTTTAAGATACTGAAAAGTTTTGAGTGATTTTTTTAAGAAACAAAGTTCTTAGCCTCCTTTATACCATTTGAGTTCTTAAGATTTTGCAAAGGGAAGTTGGTAATTAGTATTTGTATTAAGGGATATTGATTATTTCATTGTAATTTTGTTATACGTAATAACTTTTTTTTTATGAAATTGTTCTGCAGAGTAAAATTCTACGCAGTTTTTAACTTTAACGTTTGGTGTTTCCTTCAGCCATTTTTCCGGTACATTTAAAAGCCAGACGAAGGCTGGCAGCGAAGCTGCTAGTATATATATAAAATTTAAAAAATTAGTTCAAATAAATCTGAAGCAAAATCATGCATTGTAAGCTACAGCAATTCAGTGATAATTAAAATGAGAAACAAAGCAAATTCAAGTATTATGTTCAGTTTGGCAAAGTAGAAAAAGCTGCCACTAAATTCTCTACGCTGTAAACACCTGTTATAATTAAATTTATAAAAGATTTTCCCCCTTTTTAGGCTTGCTCTTTAATTATTAAATTTATTATTCAAAGTTTTTTTTGGCTTTTATTTTCATAAATGCCTGCAGAAATTAAGTAGTTATTTCATATTAAAACAAATATTCTTATAATATATTTTAGTTATTGATGTAATCATCATTATTAATATTTTTTGCCTCATAATGGCTAAAATTTCAGTTTTGGATTTGTAAAATATAGATTTTTTTTATTCAAAAAATTTGAAATTTAATTTTTGACATACTATATAGTACAAAGTCTAAAATATGAACCAACAACAATATTTTTTTAACGAATTTTTTTGGTGAGAAGAAAGCAAGAAATAGATTTTTAGAGTAGCTTCTCGCTTTAGCATACACTTAATGCTTCATTCATGCACAATAGACATGTTTACTTCCTTGTACAAAGTAAAGGAAGTATTTTAATCGAGAAAAATTTCAGTTATCACATTTCCTTGGTAATAACTATTTTGATTGTTTTTTATTTTTTAAATTTTTTTATGTGACATCTGTACGTACGGAAATACAGAATAAAGGTCTGTTTATTCCAAAATAGATTGTAAAATGAGTTCAAAATGGACATTTTTATGATGTATATGTACATACATATGTATTTCATGTAACTCGAAAACGGTTAGTCATAGAACATTGAAATATTGTATATGGCATTAATATAACATGTATTATAGCAGTGTCATATGCAGTATTTCATGCACCTCTGTTTTTTATTGCAATCAGTAGTACCAAAAGTTTATATAATATATATGTATATTATATACATTAGTATTATATCAAAACCAATTTTTGAAATCAAAATTTGCAATTTTTGACATCAATTTCCAAGTTATTTTGAGTAATCAATTAATTAAATTAGAATTATTTGATGAAATAGGTGTAAATGAAGTGTAGCAAAAAATATCTGTAATTTAATAAGTCATCCAAGGAAGTCATGGGTGTCCACATAAAATTTTTTCATAATAAGGCATATAGAGGAATTCTTAAATTTCAATTCACTAAAATACCTCTATGTTGAAGAAATAATGATTTATTAGCATAAATCTGTATGATCAGCAATTTGGCCCCAAAGCCATTTTTTTGCTGTATATCTCAAATCAAAATGCTCTGCCAAATTCCAGTGCTAATTTTACACCTGCTGAATATCCCTAATGCCAACCTGGCAAACCATTTTTTTATTTTTTGCTTTCATCACCATCTGACTATCATCTCAAGGTAGTTTTGAGAAATAACTCATGCAACGTCTTGGAGTTTTTTTTTTTTTTTTTAAATATAAGTAACTGTCTGGTGAAGAAAAGGACAGAAAAGTTGTTGAGAATGAAACAATTTCAGTTGACAGTATAGTGGAAATTCTCGACAGGGCAGCTATATTACTTGATGAACTGAACTTTAAAGATCAGCATGGAATAATGTCTGTCTATAGCAGGGGTGGCCAGACACTTCAAGACGACAAGAGCCGCATGATAGATTTTAAGAGCATCAAGTCCAAATTCATATCATTTAAAAGATAATAAGATAGGGTTTGAATATAGAGAAACGTTTGAAGTAAATTAAGGAAAATTTTGCATTTTATATGTGATTAACATTATTACATATAAATATGAACAAATGCATTATAAGGTATTTTCTTCCTCCTTTCCGCATGCCTCTGTGGTGTAACTGGGAGAACATTCAATGCTTATTCAAGAGGTCTGGAGTTCGAATACTGCTGAGGACATTGCGCATTTTTTATGTTTCCAATATAAAAAAACCTTATGATTCCACAGTGGCACTTGAACTAAAAAGGTGATGGATGATAATTCACCACCAGGATTTGGCCATTTGGTCCTCCTCATGTCCACTTCCTCTTTAAAGGCGGGAGTATATGAGGTATTTTCTCCCCTCTTTTCCACATACCTTTGTGATGTAAGTGGAAGCACACTCAAGTCATATTTCGGAGTTCCGAATTTCGAATCCCAGTGAGGGCATTGCACATTTTTCACGTGTCCAGCATCAGAAAATTTAATCAACTCTACAACATCTTATTTCTACTGCTTTGTGTTCAGAAAAGTTAAATTCCAAGAAAATATGAATTTGTAACTCTACGAGTAGAAAATCTTTTTAATCATTTATAATTAAAGCATAGCAATAAAATGGGAGGACTGTGTAACCCTTAGAAAATGTTTGTCAAATGTGCTAGTAGCTTTTTTGAATTGGAGTTCTTAAGAGAGAGAATGATTTTTTTGAATTGGAGCTTTTCTTTAAAATTCAATATAATATATAATGAATTTCAAAGCATAATACCATGATAATTTGGTACAGTAAATAACATTTTATCATCGCTTATCATAGCCTGAGGATTAAATTGCTGCAGATTTTCCCCTTCTTCGCTGTCCTTATCTTCCTGCTTGTATTTTTTGTTTCTCTGCAAGTTGCAATATTTTCTGAAGGTTCTGCACTATGTTTCTCAATATAATGAATGATATATACATACAAACTTCTTTACAGTGTAAAACTACTATGAACAATTATTAAATATCAAAATTAAATCAATTTCAATAATTTTTTGTCTGTTCAATATGAATATAGTGCTTTATATTGTTCATTAGTTCAGATTTTGCACATCTCTAAAGATGTGCTTAATTACATTGGACATAAAAAATAAAGGATAATGACAAAAATAAAACATAACTGATGCTTAAAAATTATTAACAGAAATTTGTACAAAAGCATTAGTTAACATAAATTACAATGTTTGGCAGTTGATTATTCACAAAAATATTGAAATTTAAACCACATTTATGTTGGAAAATTATTTATTATTTATTAATTATTTAATTGGAAAATGATGGAAAAAATTGTCACCTCTTGTGAAATTTTTTTTCTTGAACATGGTATATGATCACTCTCAGACAGATAGATATGCATACCTCACATCTTGATTTCATAGAATAAACCAAGTCTTATGGAACTGCCCACCATTTTTCTAAAAGTGTACTTTTCAGCTCCTGAAGGGTCTGGGAAAGAATTTGGCGAGTTGAAATTGGGCAAACTAAAGAGGTTATCACATCTATCAATGGTCCCTGCTAGACAGGACTATTCTGAAAAACGAGATTCTGGTAGCACAGGTTTAAATGGGAGGATTCGTAGAAGAAAGAGCTTAACTGGAAGCGAAGTCCCACCTAGCTATGGAAATGCTGTACCAAGTACACGGGATTTTTTGAAACTTCACTGAAAATGTTTCGCCTCTGTCCTATGTAGAGATCAGACGGAAGTTCTGCTTCTGAAGGAACATGTGATCCCGATCTGAGCGATAATCGATTACTGTTTGGCGTTCAAGTCTTTGTAGTAAGTGAAAATGGTACCTAGCTACGTGTGTTTCCTCGAAATGTGCGGATTCTGAAAATTGTCCCTTTCGACGTCAAGTCCCTCATAGTCAAAACATAATGTGATTGGGACTTAAGCATACATACTTAATTGGGTTCAAGTCTGGTAAATAAGGTTGCCAGTCCATTCATGTAAATGGAGTGATATCTGTTTGCTAGTATGCTGACATTATATAATGCAGGATGAGGCCGAGCATTGTTATCCATTAGCAAAAATTCTGGTCCAACAACTCCCTTAACAGTCAGACTTTTGGTTCCAAACTTTGTCCACATATCTCCAAGCAGTTACAGAACCTCAAAGATATGCAGCTCAGTGCGGCCATTTGTCGCAATTCCTCCCACAAAAGGCAAGTTGTGTGTTTTTATTCTCTGTCGATCAAAACACATTTAATCACTGTTCAGACTATATCTGGAATTGTCAACAAATAGTACTTGGGCCCAATCGTCTTGGCTTCATTGAATATGATAATGGCACTCGTTCAAATGGGTCTCTCTAGAGTTGGAGTGCATGGAACACAAACCATTGGTTTTCTCGCATAGAGTCCAGCCTCATTAAGCCTTCATCCAGCAGTAAAATGGCTAATTTGAGTTTCCGTGGCAGCGTGAAGGTCTAAAACCAAATATCTTGTAGTCGCTTCATGATTTCTCTGAGCCAACAACAACAGAAAATGGTCTTCTTAAGAAGTTGTTGCTCTTGGTTGTCCTGGGCTGTCTGTCAACTAATCCAGTGCTTAAAAAGTGGCTCCAAACTCTTGTTATGATACTTCAAAGGACATACAAATATTGGACAACTTCCATTTGTGTTTGACCTTCCTTGATTCTACCAGTTATTCGCCACTTTTGACTTCCTCTGAAATGATGCCTTTGAGCCATAACTACTGAGTACTGATCACTATCAGAAACCACATTCACTTTAAGCTACACTGCAGACTAGAATTCCAGTATGCATCCATTGCGCACCACATTGTCAGTCACCGAATTTGCATAATTTGAGTACTAATGTATGTATGTGCAGAAGTGCAAGTTTGTGTTCAGTTGCATTTAATTAACATAAATAATTACAGCATTGGCCATTTGTTGCATTATTAACTTAGTGAGCATATTTTTTCTCATAAATCTTTAGTTTTTATAACCAGTGTAGATAGATGGTGTGGTTGTGAAGAGCAAGGCAAATTGTCCTTCTTAGGCAATCCTTGCTTTAAAGCATAACTGTGTTGTAATATTGTATGGTATTAGAACTTTCTTTTTTTTTTTAAATTTATTCTGACCTTTGTATTTATGCTGTGCAAGCATGATTTGCAATTTGTTGTTATAATGATATTTTGGAATTTTTAAGAATTCATAGCTCCTTTAAAAGAGACCATTAAAAATATTTACTTGCATATTCAGAATACCATCAATAAAGGCTATAAGTAAACATATATCTCAGTTCTTAATATGAAAAATACCTAACTTTCCTCATGGAGAAAAATAACATTATTTTGTTCATTTTCATGACTCTTATCATAATAACACCAGGTTCGTCTGACATGAACTAAAATGCCCTATTTTTAGAAGAGTGATGTAGCATCTCCCTCAGTCATCAGTTGGTAATAAAAATCTGTTAATATTTAAATGGGAGTCTATTCAGAGCCATTTTCTTCCTCAGTGTTTGGAAATTTTGAGTTATTTCTTAAATGACCCAGTTCCTCTGCCCAATAGTAAATAAATTGTAGTACTATTACAAAAAAATACGCATTAACATTTTCGGAAACTTTTTTTTTTTTTTTTTTTTTTTGCTTGCAACTTTTTATTTTCCACCTCCAAATGGTTGTATATATATAGTTTCAATTCATAGCCATTTTCGCATATTTGAATGGAGGGGTAGCATATCTGTGTCTTGAAAGAATGATATAGCATCTTAGTTATTCATAAATCAAAAATTCATAAAAAAAAATTTTTTTTTTTAAAGAAAAATTATTGTCTACTCACAGCTGTTATCTTCTCTGGACATCAGTAAATAGATATTGTATACATATTTTTGAAAAAAGGTTAGCATGTGGTTTACTTGCAGTTTTTCTCCTGGCAAATAAAATAATTAAATGATCATCGTTGGTATAGAGATCAGTCCATTTTTCAGACATAATGGTGGTGAATGTAACAAAAGTTATTGAAATTTCATCTCGTTGTTACAACATTGCTCAGAGCAGTAATCATCTTACAGAATTGATTTATGTACCGTAAAGTTGTAATCAAAGCTTATCAACTTTTATCTTTTTTGTATGTGGTGAAACGTTTACTTTGGCAGTGGCTAAACAGATAGCAGAAATAGCATGTGCACTTTATTGTGCCAAATATAAGTAGTTTACATTAGAACTGTCATTGGTAATTTATTGCTGTTCTTGGCAGTGTTTAAAAAAATGCACCATAAAAATGGGAAAGGGCTAAAAAATGTCTGTTTGTCTAGAGTGCAGTATTTGTCATTGAATATATTTATCTTTGGGAGAGGAACAAGGTCTCTTTGCTAGCCATTGCAGGTTACCTTTTAACAGTTAACATATTTGATTATTACTGCAGTTTAAATAATTGGTTTTTTCTTTTTTGAAGGTTGAAAATTTGGGATGTGAAGGTAAAGTTGAAGAAGCTCAGGGAATAATGAAACTTTGTGAACAACTTAAAGAAGAACGTGAAGCACTAAGAAAAGCTTCAGAAGCAAATCATTGGTTTCAGGTAGAAGAGTTCTTTGATAAATGCTGAAAATAATTGTTTTCCTTATTACAGTCAATGCTTTATTACACAGCTTTTAAAAATGTGGTATCAAATATGTAATTCCAGACTAATAAATTTTTATATGCTATAATCCTTATGTAACTATGCTTTATTTCTTATATTTTATCATTGTGTATATAAGCAGTCAGTTGCAGATAAACATAAGTTTATAAGGGAAATGAGTGATAGATATGTCGGTATCTAATGATATTAACGTTTGGATTCTGTGTTTTATAGACTGCCGAAATAGCTGCAGCTCAAGAAAAACAAATGGAAGTTTGTGAGGTTTGTGGAGCATTTCTGATTGTTGGAGATGCTCAGCAAAGAGTAGATGATCATTTAATGGGCAAACAACATGTTGGCTATGCAAGATTGAAAGAAGCAGTGGAAGAAATACTGGTATGTATTTTAGCGTAGCAAATATGTGCAGCAAAGTTAAGGAGCCTATGAAAACAGTTCTATTATCTTAAGCATACTTTTTCTGCAGTAAAATTCCTTTTGTTTTGTTTATTTAAACAAGGAAACTTAAGAAAAATGATACCATTATAAAGAAATTTTTCTTAGTTCTTGATAGATATTTATTATATTGCATAAAAGCAACTGAGTAATTAGAAAGTAAGTGTAAGAGAGGGTAGAGGAAGGAAACAAGCATTCATGATAAACTTTTAGTCAACTATTAAATGTTGACAGTGAATTTTATGTAATAGTGACTACACTGAAACATAACAAAGCTTCCAAGGCTTCTGTTTTATAGTATCAAAAATTAAGTTGCACTAACTCACCGCAAGAGCAAGCTGTGTGACATAATCATGAGCAGTGCGGAGAAAGGAACATTAACTGTTCAGACGTCTGATAAGAAGGTTGGTGTGGTTTCCTGTCTTGTTGTATGGGCTAAAATCAATGGTGTGTCAACTGGATGTTCACTCCAAATTGGAGGTGCGTGCAACAATCGGATTCCTATGGCCCAAACAGATGAATTTTGTAAACATTGATCATGAAATCACTGCTGTATGTGTGCGTGCAATTTCTTGGCGAGGTATTGGAAACTGATGTCAAGAGTTTGAAGCCGGACGCCCAGATATCACGGACAAATGTCACGAAGGGAGGCCCGCTACATCCAGTAACTTTGCAAATTTCGACCATGTGAAAGTGATCATTAGAGGCAGGGTTGCCACGCTACCTGAAAAACCGGGAAAACCGAAAAAAGTCAGGGAATTCGGAAATTAACCAAAAAATTCAGGAAAAAGTCAGGGAATTTAAGTGTTTTAGTCAAAATCTGGAAAAGTCAGGGAATTTCATACAACGATCCCGCCAAAAAAGGCGAGTTTTGCGCAGACGTCGGAAAGATGAGTGTTTTGGCAGCTGGCATAGAGCCAATTTTCGCAGCTCCAATTTGATTGTCTTTTTAGAAAGGCAAAGCAAGTTTTGCAACTTTTGGTTTCCAGTAACCTCGTAGAATCGCATGTGCAGTGTAACCCTGTTCTCGTATAAAACAAAATGGGTTTAATCCTAGTATACGGTCCATGAAGGTTAGGCCAAAAAGTCTTGTAATTGCGATAAACCTGTCTGCAACGAGCTCGAATCATGTCGAAACACGTATCGGGAGTTCATCATGCGGGAACATGTGCATCGCGATAAATGTCCGGTGAAAAGTTCGAAGGTCGAAGAGTTATCAAGAGTTCATAAAATGAACATAAAATGTCTTTAAAGGAAAAGAAAATATTTTGTAGTAATTATATTCGTTAATCTAAAAATCCGTTTTTAAAATTATTGCGAAACCAAGAAAAAACGTTTCTTTTGATCTTTTTCGGATTTTATTGTAATAATTTAAAAACTTTTCTCAAAGAACGTTTCCTGTGTCTTCGCAGTAGAACACTGGGGGTTCCGTCGTCAAAATCCCTTGGCAAATTTTCCCTCCGCTTTTTACATAGACGTTCTTTGGTCAGAATAATCTCCATCTATGGTACAGCAGGATTTGGCGACATGATGATGAGCAATAAACGGGTCATTTTGTTCTTGGCGACAATTTTCAAAATCATGCAAAAGCAGTATCGTATACTAGGATTTTACCGCAAAATCTTTTTTTTTTTTTTTTTTTTTTTCTTTTCTTTTTAATAAATACCTTGTCATTTTGCAGTAAAATAAAAAAATAGTAATCAATCATCTAGGATAACCATGTAATATAACTATATTCGCTAAAATATCGTTGATTATTCTAATTAAATTTTTAAGTAATTATCTTTATTTTTATGTTATTCATATCATTTAATGTTGCTTCTTCCCTCTAAATAATATTTCCAAATTTCAGGAAATTTTCTCTGGCATAATCCTGAAATTAATTCTAGCAGTATGATGACATCACGAAATTTAATGCACATATTTTTCCTTATGTATGCTGCGAAATAAATATAAAATACCTCAATTTAGTAAAAAAATATCATTAAATAGATTTCTTTCTTTCGTTTAGCTGCAGAATGTCTGCAAAAAAAGCCTTATTTTATTCCAGATTGGGCAGATTCTAATCTCAATCTTCAGTAGAGAAAACAACTCCTATTATAATTATATTTGTGTTTTCAAGTGTTAAGGTGCCTTTTAAAAATATACCTCACACAAATTAAATTTACCTAAAATCTAACTAACTTTTAGCATTGCGTTGTGATTTATAAGAACCGGATTAGCCTCGTGTTGAACTGGGGATGATCATGAGTAATAATTAAATAAAACGTACAGTTGTTATCCAATGTATATATCTTAAATTTTATTAAGTTTTTAAAGCGGAAAAGTAAACAAAATTATCAAACAAAGTGTACCAAGATAATTAAGAATAAATGTCCTCTGGGATTTATTGAATAATTAAGTGAATTTGCTACACAGTACAAGTAATACCATAATTAATTTACCTCTTTGCACAGCCAACGTACATTACACGGATAGACTGGAATTTTCTTGAAACATACCTGGAAAACCTGGAAAAGTCAGGGAATTTCATTCTCCTGTTTGAGTGGCAACCCTGTAGAGGGAACTGGCACATAAAACTGCGGGAAATTTCCAGCATGCTGAATATTTCGTATGGTAGTGGGTTTTGCATTGTTCGCAAGGACCTTGGGTTTCATAAACTGTGAAAAATGAGCCCCTCATCTTCTCACCACTGATCACAAGGAACAACGTTTTGAATCCTCACTGGCACTTTTGCAACAGTATTCTGCAGGGCGCAATGATTAAGGCAAATCATCACAAGGTATAAAACGTGGGTGCACATCTCATCACCACAATGAAAGAAGGCCAAGGTCCAACCTTCAGCAGGAAAGGTGATGGCGACAGTGTTCTTTGACATGGAGGGTTTGGTGCACATGGTATTCCAACTCGGCTACGTATTGTGAAACGTTGAACCGGTTGCGTAAAGCAATTAAAGAAAGAGAAGCACTGGGGAAAATTGAGGAACAGTGAGATTTTGTTGCACTATAACGCAACACCTCACAAGGCCCACCAAATGTGCAGCGATTCAAGTGGAAGCCTCCATACAATCCCGATTTAGTTCTATGTGACTTTCATGTTTTCGGTAAGCTTAAAAAGGATCTTGGCGGACAACGATTCAGAAATGATGAGGAGGTGAAAGCAGCTGTCTCCGTGTAATTACATAGCGCTGGAGAGATTTCTATGCATCCGGAATCAAAAAGTTGGTTGTCCGTTCGGAGACATGTTTAGAGTCTCTTGGAAACTATGCGAAAAAGTAATTTTTCAGTGTATGCTGTCATAGCCGTGTTGCTTTTGTATTGCCAATTTAAAAAAATGGTCATAGCTTGGAAGGGCAACTTACTTTTTGATCTGCCCTCGTACTTACCATTATTAAAATTTAGATCATATGTGGATGAGTATTTATATAAACTTGATATTTTTATTATTTCCAAAATTTTGTCATTTGCAAAATAAAAATATATATTTCCTTTGAATATTACCTAAGGTAAAGCATGATCTGGAAATATGTGACTAATTCTCACTACAGTTTGACAATTCTGTAGACATATTAGACTCTGCACATTTGACAGTTATGGTGAAAATGGTGCTTAGTAACTTTGCTGTAAAGAAGACTTGCTGAAGATATTACCTATAAAATGACGAATAAGTGAGGATATCATTTGCAGCAAAGTTAATAGATATGCCTCTGCACAAGTTGTTGACGATAACCACTGATAGAGCGCAGGCAATAGTTGGAAATATTGAGCAATTTCCTGCTCTCAGTAAGAAAGATAAACCATTTCCAAACTTTATGTTGCATTTGGTAGAATATTATTCTTTGGACACCTTATGAAACGGTATTTAAACAGCCCCTTTGTAACACTGCCTTTTCAAGGTCCTACTAGAAGATCCTGGTCTTGTTCTGGACATTGGTTCAGTAAAGGCAAAATTCTTGCAAGATTCATAAATTTAGTTCAAGAAATAAAAATTAGTACCAAAAATTGATTGAAATTTTGCTGAGTAACAGACCTATGGCTGGTGGATTTAAGTTTCTTCACAGACATAACTGAGAAATTGAGTTATTTAAACTTGGAACTGCAGGGAAAAGAAAAACATATGGCTTGAATGATAGGCTATGTTAAGCCATTTATAAATTGGTTTTGTGAATATTGCATCTGCAGATCAAGCCACTTGTGCATTTCCCAAATATAAAAAAAGAAAAGTGATTAGTGCAGCTGAAATTGACTTGTCCTTATTTATCATCAAGCTTCAATTGAAGTTTGAGATTTTAAAAGTTTTAATATCATCAAGCCAATGGTCACCTTTTTCATCATTCCTTTTACTCGCCAGGTAAATGTGACCAAAATAGCTCTATACATTCCAGATTTTATTCAAGCAAGAACAGAAGAGCTAGAGGTAGAAATTTCGGATTTTCAAAATGACATTGTCCTAAAATCCAGTGTGTCAGATGAGAACTTTCAGAATATAGTTGATAGAATAAAAATTTTCATTCTTGAAAAGAGCATGCAAGACAAAATGTTTTTTCGTTCTGCATTCTTCTGTGAATCATTGTTTTCAACTGTGAATATCACATAATCGAAGTACAGGTCTCAACTTAAGGTGAACGAACATATTGATGATTGCTTAGGAGCAGGAATATCATCATACTGTCCTAATAATAAAGTAAATGGCCAATGAAATGAAGTGCCAAATATTTCTTTAATTTAAGAATTTCTTTTTTTATTCCAACGAATTGTAGGCCAAAGAATTTGTAATTTTTTTTGTATTGTTTAATAGTTTATTTTATGTAAGAATGCTGTCAATAATTTTTATATTGTAAAATTATATTTTGAAAATGTTTTTTGGAAACAGAGTTCTTCATTTGCCTGCATATTTATTTTTTCAATCAAAACTGGTTCGACCTAAATTTAATCAAAATTCAG